CCCCCCCAGTTTTCAATGGTCAAGCCTAATGAAACTTGTAGACTCAAAATGATTTTACTTCATAAAAACACACCTTTATTGCATAATACGAGTGCATAAAATACAAAAAAACACAAACATTTGTGTGCTCTACAGGGGAGGAAAATAAATTAAGGGGACTACATATATGGTACTAAATAAAAAACAATAATTTAAAATATACTTAAATACTATTGCGATGGAATAATATAATAGTTAAATCAAGTTTTCATAAAAATGGCAGTTACAATTTAAGTCTCTGGAAATAAAAAAAAAAAAAACTTTCTTGGAAGCTTTTTATTGGGAGCCTAAATACCCCCAAAAAGAACTTTTAACTTACTCATGGAAGTCAATGATTTTTGTATGAAAGTACTGTAACTCCTTATTGCAATATATTTCTAATGGCAGTGAATAAGGATCAGGTGCAATATGTAAAAAAAAAGTGACTTTAAATATATAATATACCGGTAACATAACATATCATAACATGGCAGGAGTGGTTACATAATCGTGTATTTTAACGTCTTTGGAATTTATTGTGAACTAGACTGTATTGTCACACACTGCAATATTCAGAGGTCCATTCACCTCTTCATTAAATTAAACTTTGAACTACGATTTGGTTATTTAATATTGGAACATCCCATTCTTAAAGAAGGGGTGGGGTGAGTGGGCAGTTGAACTGGCTATGATTGGCTGATGTGCAACTGGAACAGTTCATTATTATGCGAGAGGGAAGTACTATAATTTTTCTTTGCTCTTTCTTTAAGTACACAAATCTAAATTATTGACAAAATTTCTAAATTTGTTCCTCCGAAAAGTTTCAGTTTAAAATTTACATGAATACTGCAGTGTACATCTGATAATAATAAAATTATAATGACAAGAAATGGCAAGATTGTGTCTCTTAAAAACAAAAATTCGGAATATAATAAAAAAAAATAACTTGAAGCCTGAAATGTCATAACAAAAAAAAAGAACTCAAAATACTAAAAAATAAACAAATTCTATGCACCAAATTTATACGGTGCTATGTAAGTGTCTTTTATATCGAATATTAAGTAAATCATGTTGGATGAGAGATTCACACAGGAATGTGTCTTGACATTTGTGAAAATCAATCGTATACCCTTACGCCTGATCCCTAAAGGTAACACATCCTCACATTTTCTGATGGTACAGCAACAATTTCTAATAGTATATTTCAAATATTTACCAACTTATCTATTTTTGAACATTTTTTGGAGAAAAAAAAAATAATCGAGCAATTCTTGAAGAGTGAATCTGCGCCACCAAAAAGTACCAGGATTAGTGACCTTCAGAGGTTATACACGAGGTCAAATCGGCAGTGAAGTACACACAATATATATTTTAGCAGTGACTCCTTCTTGGCAGGTCTTTGGTAAAATTGTTTAAATAATGTGGCTATGTTTGAACATTGTAAAACTTGTTTTGGTATAAATGGACACAGTCCTCTCTCTCCCCCTCATACCTGGTAATGCATTGCTCATATTTCTGTGGCAAGTTAATAGCAATTTTAAGTTTTCAATACAATTGCAGAGCAAACGTACTTCAAAAGTACTAAGGTTCAAATTAAAAGTTTAAAAAAATCAAACATGACTCAATTCAGGATAATTAAAAAAAGGTGTTAAAATATGAAATCCAACACTGGCAATGCATGAGCTTCTGAAACAGAATTGAGCACCATGAAACGGCCCGTTTTTTTAATTAAAAGGAAGCACTTCTTTGAAATTTACATAATTGACCTTTCACCTGCAATCTACAAGCAAGGGAAAGCTGTTATTGGTAATTAATATGAAGAATAGTAATTGTTAAAAATAATTTTAAATGAAAACTGTAGATTTTAGAAAAACTAACACAAATGTAAAAATCCCTTATGTTACCCTATTGTTCTCCATATCCAATTTTCCTAGTGTTCCCCATTGTTATTATTGTTAGTTTTTATTTTAATATTAATTATTTGGGTTACCATTACTTATCATTAAGTAAATTTCTGGCTAAAAACATTAAAATATGATTGAAGAAATATAATTATAGAACAAGAATGAATGAATAATTAGGTTGTAAAAAAAACAGATTTTTTATTTGTGTTCTGGGTGGCCTTTATGTTAATGAAAGACACCAACCAATCAGAGGTTCAGATTAGCCAACCAATTAAAATGTGGCAAAACACTTTTGTGTTATTTAATTTTGACGGATATAACTGGAATATTTGATTCTGTTCTGGTTGGAAGTTTTAAAATGTGAATGTACAACTTGAGAAAGTCACCCAGACAAAAACAAAAACAAAAACAAATTAAACAATCTTAAAACAAGATTTTAGTTTCTTTAGCATCATTATTGCTTTTGTAAAATATCTACGTAAAACAGCTCATAAAAGGCTATTAAAAAATGCTATGATGTGGCAATTCATAAAATATATATTCAATATATAGCTATATTACTTTGAAGGTATTAGCACCTTGACTGCATCCTCGTAACTGAGTATTATAAGTGGTATTTGTATTGCTAGAGATGGCGGGAATTGTACTCTGACAAATCTTGGAAGCACTCTTTCTCACACACACACACCCACACACGCAGACAGACACGCACACACATGCATAAAAAAAACAACAAATCATTGTCATTTTTTGTTATTTTAAGTATTGCTTTGACATAATTCTTTGATTGTGAAATCAATCCCAAGATGCAATGGTGTGCAATCTACGACCTTTGACCTATCCCTACATCCTTTCTCCTATCTACATCATTTTTTAAAAAAATAATTTATTTAACTATAAAATCTATAAATTTAGCATATTTACAACCATTAAGTTGTCATGGTAAACAATTGCTTCAGTCAAACGTTAAAAATGGCATGGCAGCTTTTACACAAAGCAATTTTGAATAAAAAAAAAAGTATTCATATAGAACCAGTATTAAACTTGAGAATTAGTCTCGGTAGACCTCGGTTGATGCTTCTTTTTTCAGCTGTCTTAGCGTATCCTCTCGTTTACAGTAACTGTACCTGTGGTTCATATGCTGACTGTAGGATCCTGAGTGTGAAAACTTCTTTAAGCATTTATCGCATTGATAAGGTTTCTCTCCGCTGTGCAGACGTGAATGTTCCATTAGATGATGTTTGTGCTTGAATGCTTTGCCACACTCCTTGCACTGATGGGGACGTTTCCCTGAAAAAAACAAGTCGGAACATATCATGAGTATGCATGTTTGCTGCCCTCTATAGTCAGAATGGTGCATTTATTTGCTGTGGTGGCTTTATTGGTCATCTTGCAGATTTTATTGCAAGTTAAGGGCACTTTTGTCAGTTATCTTGTATATTTCATGGCGAGTTAAGGGTACATCATTTTTAAACATATGTTTATTTTTTCCACAGAGAATTGTTTTTGAAAAGGGGGGAGAAAAACTATTTTTCAAAGTTTAAGTTATCAATGTCAAAATTGTCATATTGAAAAGTAAACATGTATGAAATGGAACACTTCTTGCATTTATTTATGTCTGTCATAGTAACAAGTACCTGATTCACCCTGTGAACAACTTTTTTGCCACATTTTAAAACCTAGATTTTCGAAATAATTGAAACAAAAATTTATTTTTTTTACCAAAAAGCGATCTATGATTTTTAAAGTTTGTTGCGAAGGGATTTTGAGAGGACAATAGAGTATACACCAACCTGAGTGTTCATAGACATGTCTTAAAAGCGAGCTATGTTTCTGAAAAGTCTTGGGGCACTGACTGCAAGCATACATTCCATTAATTGTGCGTGATGATCGGTCTTTGCGCCGTCTTGTTCGACATTCACCAATAGATTCATCCAAACTACCTTCACTCAATGAGTCATCTGAAAAAAAAAATAATTTGTTATTCAACACGTCAAACTATCACTGATTTGTTATGTTCATGCAAACCATATTTTTAGTGGTTTTCATTTTTCTGCCCTTTTACAATGTAAATCTTACTACTGTAAAATACTTTATTTTAGCTGGAATAAATTTTCTCTGAAAAGACTTGGTTGTTTTGTATGGAATTTATTTTTACTGATTTTTGACAAGTTGAATGTAAAATATAGGAAAAGGTATATTCACTGGAGTTTAATTTCACTGAATCATCCCCTCCAGCGAAAATTAATTCCAAGCGAAAATAAAGTATTTTACAGTATGCGGTACTGTGATGTGACAGAATCACCAAATGTAATACACAAGTAAGACCAACCAATCTTGTGGTTATGTTTTTATTCATACACAATATTGCAAAGGGTAGAATGTGGGGAGAGAATACGCACAGCTGTAACAAATTTCAACAAACCCAAGTTTGAGTGGTTGAAAAAAAAGTATTCTCAACTGAATGCAAGAAATGCAGCAATTACTGTTACCATGTATGCTTTACTAGAAGCGCATTTATTTGGTTACCAGCATTGTATCATGACTTACCTCGATGGACAGCACCAGGATGATACGAAGACATGGGATTCGATCCGAGGGAATTTCGTATCTCGTCTTCCGTCATGAAATGTCTCCCAGCAGGCATGATATCTGGAGGGCTTCCCGTGCTCATTAAGCCCAGGCTGTCCATCAACTTCAACTTCTTTGTGGGGCCCTGCGTGGGTGCCGCAGCAGCCAGTAGACTGTTATGCAATCCTGGGTGGTGATGTGCTGCATATAAATGCGGCAGTTCGATAGCATGTGTCAGGATTCTGGCGGCAGACGGGTTATGGGCTTGTCCATTGCAATGAGCTTTGATGTTATTTTCAAAGTATGGTTGAGCCAAACGAGGATCAACTTTAAATGAACTAAAGTAGAAGTCAGGAGTAGTATTTGGTGTGGAATGATAACCCTTCATGTGGAACACGGACCGAGCTGCGTCAAATTGCTGTTGGTGATACTGCGATGTTTGAGGAAATCGTCTCGCTTTACTTGATACTTTTAATTTTTTGGGCATTGAGAGATCAAGCGGCTGCTCATTGTTTTTTGTTCGTTCTTGCGACGGAGGTGAAGGTTCAGACACAATTTTTTTTTTTGTTAAAGCTATTGGTTCATCATGAGGAACATTTTTTTTGGATAAATTCAACCCGTTTTCGCAGGTGTCCAACGGCGGCATGCTCACCATCAAAAGCCCCCCATAATTGCGATTGTCATCAGTTCTAAGTCTATTTGCATACGGTGGTGTTGTCGTAATTTGTAATGGCCTAGCACAATCGGGTTCATCATTTCCCCTTTTCATCTGATCACTTCTGGAAGACTCAATATTGCTATGGTTACTGTCACTTTCATCACTGGAATCAACATGATGACTGTTAACCAATGGGGTGTGATTTTCATCAGCATCATCCTCATCATCATGAGCATCTCTTTCATGTTCAAGTTGTGCTTTCTTGTTTTCAAACCAAGTTTGTATGGCATGAACGGGAAGACCTAATCTTTGCGAGATCTTATCTATGTCATCAGAAGATGGATTTGAAGACATTGCGTAATAAGCACTCAAAGCATGTTGTTGATTTTCTCCTATTAAAACCTTATCAGACTCTTCCTCCTCACATTCCATCAGCTTTTCATTTATCTCAATATTTCTGGAATGCTCTTTGTTTTTCTCCTGCTCCTGCTCCTCCTCGCCCTTTTCCTCCTCCACCTCTTCCTCTTCAAACTCATCTGATGATGAGGCTTTATCATGTGACATTGTAATATCATCAATTTCAGCTTTATCTTGCTGATCATGTGACTGCTTCCTTGACTGGAGGTCATCGTCATTTTGCATGCTAACCACTTCCCTTTGAAAGTTGATATATTTTGTCAAGGAGACATGATTTTTTACTTTCTGCACGTCCTCATTCTCATCACACAAGTAACGTTCATGCTGGTGCAACTCAATTGGGTTGAAAAACATTTCTTGGCAGTATCTACAGGCATTTTTATCTCTTTTAAAATGGATATTTGTAAACGCTTCAACAGCTTTCGCTTCATTTACTTTTCTTAGCGTGTAATCAACTATGTCATAACTTTTCCCCTTTTTATCAACTCGTTTATTTTGATTAACTTGTGGACTCTTAGCAGGAGTTTCTTCTCGTGGAATTTCAGGAATGACAATTTTCTCGGCAGTTTTGACTTCATTCACTGGATCCTTGCTTTCTCTCTCCATTGGAGGCTGCTTTGCTTTCTTTAGTTTCGCCACATTCTTATTTTGTCCCTCCATCTGTTGCCTGGAGACTGTTGCCCCAACGATTTGAAGAACTTTCTTCACAGCATCATTAGGAGGTGATGTTATGGTGATTGATTTATCTTGAGACTGATCATCGGATGTATTGACGTTGATGGACAAAGCATCGTCATCATCATTGGACGGCTTATCAGATTGATCATAGAAGCTACCGGGGATATAATTATGTATATTGTGTGGGCCAGTGACTGGACTCATATCCTCGGAGATGAGTTTAACTGGAGCGGCTTTTGTCGAGAGCAACAATGACGGCATGTATTTGGAAGGTGTACACTTTTTACTACTTATATGAGAACTATAGGAACCTGAATGTGAGAATCGTTTTTTACACGTAGTGCATTCATAAGGTTTCTCCCCGCTGTGTATCCTCAAATGTTCTTTTAAATGGTGTTTATACTTAAAGGCTTTGTGACATTCTCCACACTTAAACTTTCGATTGCCCGTGGAGTGCGTTAACATGTGGCGCTGTAGCCGATAAATATTCACAAATGCTTTGTTACAGATCTCGCAGATTTGATCTCTTCCGGGCATGTGCGTAGCCATGTGACGTTCCAATTGCGACTTGTACGCAAAACTGTAATTGCACTCTGAGCAGGCATAATTGTTTGCGTTTTTTTCGTGGCGGTATTTGATGTGCTCTTTCAAAGACGTGGCTCTCTTGTAGACACGGTCGCAGTATGGACAACTAAGAATGGTATCATCATTGCTTTCACCATTTTGTCCTGTAATATATAAAAAAAGGATAGAAAACATAAGATTTTTACTTTAAAAAAAAAAACTTTTGTTTTTATGGTGCAATTCTTTTGTTTTTATAGACAGTGTTGATAGAGGGCACTGTTTTGATTTTTTTTTAAATTTCAAAAAAAAAAGTCATCAAACAAAAATAATTGCGAGAACACAAGACAAATTTTTGAAGTTATTAAACGAAATATCATATCAAAAATTCATTAACGCTTTTAACAAGAATCGAAACATGTATGAAACTAAAACCAATTTTCCATTGGTTATAATTCAATACCTATTGCAGACATTATAAAGTATCTCGTATATTAATAGCTACATAAACAACGATGTCATTTTCTATTATTTATTGCTGGCATTTTGACAAAAAAATAATCCCAGAATTGTATAAGATTTCAGGATCTGTGTAGGTAATGCTATCCGCTGGCATCCTGGCATGAGATTTCAATCGTCTCTGAGGCCTCACGTCTCACTGCTATGAAGCCACACCTTGGTACTAACTAAAATAAACAGGTGATGTACATCAAAATAGTGACTGAATCACGGATTACAACATCTGATAGATGTCAAAGGCCATTCACACTGGACCAAACCATACAAACCGAGGGGTGGTTCAATTAAAACCAAAAATGAAGTCAGTTCAAATTTTCACAAGCTTAATTACAAGTACAGAGAAGCAAGATACAAACAATATGATGTGTACCTTGCTCTAGAAGGGAGATAGGTTTGTTTTCTGTTTTTTTTAGACCAAATTGGGTCAGAAAGTGTTCTTTGTTTAAAACATTTGTAGCTGATTTATGGAGACAAGAGCGGTGGAGAGACAGGTACCAGTGTAATATAAACAATATGGAGTCAGAATGGTGAGAGCATCTTGTCAACATTTATCCTCCAAGTCATGGGGTCTGGTTTCAATATAAACATACAAGTCTATGAAGCTTTTTTATCACCTTAACTAGGCTATACCTCTAAACACATTGAAAAAATTAGTCTGTCCTGGTTGTTAACATTGAAATGTGTCATAAAAAGAAAGAGAGAGAAAAGCTGTTCCTGTCTCTGCAATACCTCCCTCATAAGGCTGACAGTGGGGAAAATATCTAAATCTAAATTATTTAAACATTGATTCAACCTTGTTTTGTCAAGACATGCAGTTTAAAAAGAAAGGTCATTTGATTGTTCGGATGTTTGTTTCATTATTGAAATATTCAACACAAATTGGCATGGCGCCGAGAATTTTCAACAAACACAAAAAAAAACATCACATGGAATTATTGTTTCAGTGGGGCTGGGTTGGATCTTTGAACCTCAGGTAGAGAGGGAAAAAATAATCAAAAAATAAAAAGAGGGCACCATCCGAGAAAGGCATTAAAAGTTACAAAAATGCTACCATAAAATTTGTCGAAATTTCTCACATCAGGTAATTAAAAACGTCAAATATTATGAAAGTTTCGAATTACGACAAGAATTTCGCTTCAGGATGCCTCGAGACATGGACACAATAATTGAAGTCTGTATGGGCATTCTCTTTGGTCCTCAGCACAATTTAACCTGAGTGTTGTTTTTCACCTATCACCGGAGGTGGCATTTGGCTCGAATTACTTTTTCAAACTCTGCCGACTTTCTTCCTGTGTGAACAAGCATACAGTAGACAGCTGTGATTCATATATCATCAGTACCAACCTGACGGGTCGCTATTCTCATCATCCGGCGCCTCGGGATAAATTATTGCTGTATCGCCTCGACTGAGGTACTCTTGTAGATTCAAGCCTGCTCTTCCTCCTCCTCCTCCTCCACCAGGTGCTGCACATTCATCTTCCCCAAGTTCTTTATTGCTTTGATAACCATCATCACCATGGTAACTACCATCATTGCTGCTCATCTCATCCTGATTCAGTTCGTTTTCATTGCTATGGTAACCGTCACTATTGTTGTTTTCTTTGTTGCACTTTTCTTCAGCTTCGTTCTCTTCAAGAAGTTCTGAAGAATAAAAAAAATAAAATCATGAAAAATTAATTGAACATTACTGCATAGCGAAGGAGTTAGGCGGATTGATAAACTCACTCAAAAGATAAAAAAAAAAATACTTTATATTGTGGATTAGGTAAATTTCTTCCTTTTCATACAAACAAATGCAAAACTGCAAGTGTCAAGAACAGTTTCTGGCTTTGAATAAAGTTATAGTAGATATGATAAGAAGAAATTTAATGAAGAGACAAATAAAGAAGTTTTTAACAACAAATAATCTCACTAATCTGCATAAAAAAGTAAAATTGCGAGAACCACTCCTATAAAATATGCACAATTACCACGCAGAATTCACGGGTCACAGAGCTAGCGACCATCGACACCGAAACTATGACTCTCCACAAGAACATTTAAACGGACAATTTATGTATCATCACAACTTTGCTAATAAAACGATTTTTAGAGATTGACATTACTACCAAGAAACAAACATCAGTGACACCATAGACTAGTATGTAGTCCCAGTGGACATCGCATTCATGGCTATAAAATAGATTTCTTAACCTTCACCTGTTGGTCAGCATCAAATTTTGTAAGGGACAGGCAATGATTTATGAAGACGGGGTAAAAAAATTAATTCCTCAATCAGTGTGTACTGTAAAATACTTTACTTTCACTGGAATATATTTCGCTGAAAAGACTTTTTAGGTGTGTTATATGAAATTTATTTTCACTGATTTTTGGCGAGTTGAATGTAAAACATTTTATTTTCACTGAATCATTCTTTCTTTCTAACAAAAAATTAATTCCAAGTGAAAATAAAGTATTCAACAGTATATTCATTAGTCTATTAGCATCTTTTAGAGAAACACTACATGTTGCAATTTTAATACATTTATTTCAAAATCATCAATATTTTGTTAATTTTGATAGGTAGTTTCAATCCAAAAAATGGATAATTGTTAATGTTTTCAAAAAACATGGAGATAATTTTCTATTATTACATGTGGCGAGATATCCCTGAGAAATACTTGTTTATTTGAACCAAATCTCTCGCAACAAAATGTTGGTGTAAATTTTTCCATATTTTGATTTATGTATTTTTCTTTCATATTATTTAGGATTTTGGGGAGATTTTGGATATAATTTTTATTATTGATTACTGTAGATGAAAAATGTTATTTTCTAGTAGGTGGCAACTTTATACACTGGGCTCTATGAGGGAATTAACAAAATTAATCTTTACAAATTTGTCAATAGGTTATCTATAAAGATGGAGAAAAGCGTCCAAATTCCCTAAAATTATAATATTAAGTAACGATATTTTCGTCAGAATCCTTAAACTGACATGAGTAGTAGAAAATTTTGTTTGCAATAAGTCTTCCCATCTTTGATGTGGTTTCCACCTTTAACCGATGCTGTGAAAACTACACTGATTCAACATCAACCCCAGGAGAAAATATCGGTTGTTCCCTTGGCTATAAAAGCGGCTCCACTTAGACTGGTTATCTTGTAAACTTTCCTTGGTTGTTTTCTTGGTCTGTCTACAAAATTCATTAAATCAAACCGTAAAACATGTTCTCTGATACTCGGCGAACATGAAGTGGATAACACATAATGTAGGGGTGCTTGTTTAATGATCTTTTTCTCCTAATTTAAATATTAAGATTAACCCTTTGCTTTAAGTACTTTCACCACCTTCACAAAAGTTCCCAGCATAGTAGTTCCAATTTTTTTTTTTAAGTTTGATTAAAAATTTCAACTAATTGGAAATTATGTTCATTTTGTTGGAAACAAAGAAATGTTGCATTAGAATTTGGGCATGAAAAATTATAACACGTTTTTGGTCAGATTTCCAATCTCTACAGGTGCTAAAAAAAACACTAATTTCTTCAATGAAGTGTAGTGGTTTTGTCCTTATACACTTTTTAAAAAAGCATACAGACCCAAGTTGAATAATATAAAAAAAAAAAAAACTTGGGTAAAGTTAGCCAAAATTCTATCTACCATTATATTTTCAGTGCAATCAATTATGTTTTGAAGAGCATTCACAAATTTTTGCAAAGCCATGATGACTAAATTTATGTTCAAATTTTGTGACTGCCCTCGAGTCGTGAAAATGCACCGCTCATGAAATTAAATTTACAGTGTGACAAATTTGAGTGCAGTGTGACACGACCGTTGATTTGGACATGGTTTTAGCAGTTATATCATCACACTGAAAACCATCACTTCGAGGATTTTTTCTGATTACATATTTTATGCCATTTGTGAAGAAAAAAAATAATTTTCGAGAAAGTCACTCACACTTTTATTTTCACTGCTACAAATTTTTTTTTACTGAAAATTTGTTTCTTGCAAAATTTAAACTGTTAACAGTAGCGTATGTGAATAATCTGACATTGAAAACAGACTGTATGTCAATCAATTCTACAGTACCGATACATTTCGGTTTTAGGGTGAATGTGTTCCATAAGTGAAAAAAATTACTTTTCATGGTCTGATGGTATTGTGAGAACGTCCCTCTTTGACCTAATATTTTCATACAGGTTGTTTTCTCTATCTTCTTCGTACCTACACATAATTAAGTTAATAATACCAATCATGGTTGTGTTTATTACTGCAATAATGCATTCAAAATTCAAAAAACAATATTTTGTATACTAAAATAATACAACCTGAAAAACTAATCGGTCATCACAGTAACATTAAAATGTATATGCAACATACATAACAAATAATGGCCATAAACTCCGATGATTTAACAATGAATGAATATAATCATTTACAGATATTGTTCAAATTGTAACATTTTATTAAACCAGGTTGTCATAGCTAAATCAATGCATACAACTCATTTCACTAAAAATTTTATAGATACGCAAAATTTTTTTTATATTCAACCAATTTCAGTTTTCATATCTCATTAAAATTGCCAAAAAAAAATCAGTTAGTTTTATGTATTATTTATATTCGTTGTAACATCTGACACAGGTACCTGCATGTTCGTGTGTGTGTGAATTGTCCTTCATAATGGGAATGAATACAACATGTAATTTGCATATTGCCAACACTTCTTCAGGTGCATTATGGGAAAAAAAGCAACCATATTGTAATTGTATCACCAACCAACAATTGTTAATCACTTAGTAGTTGTACTTATTTGCATAAATTTTGAGCCATTAATTTATTTCTTGAATCAACGGGTGGGAAAAATTTAATTTCATGTAGACTTTTTCAGACATATTTGAAAAGTTACTCAAGCCGCATTTCTCTAGATCCACAATTTTTTGTCTGAATCCACCAACATTATCGTCGTGATCTGAAACGCGTTTCAGAATTTTGCGCACAGAATACGAAAATAAAGCAACTACTGAAAAAGAATTCACTTGCAAATTTGCGTTGCCATATATACGTGTACCGACTTGTCAAAATATTTATTCCAACAACAGTTGGAGCTGAATTTCAATAAATAAGTATACAGTTTGGAGAGAAAAAAATATTTAAAAAAGATTTGTTGATGCGAGTCAAGTGAGACAAGCATATATTTAATGTACGGGCAGGTGCAACTGAAGACATTATTAATAAGGAACATGCGATAGCCATACAAATACAGACTCCATGGCTATGTTCCATGCATTTTGAAATTCAAGGTAAAAAGCTTGGAGTCTGCGATTCACCCTAAGGAGTCATTCAGTCCAGACTAAAAGACGACATGAACTAAGTTTAAGTCAGCGCTATTTTTATATTACCTGAACACCTGAATTACTACTGTTCAGTCATTAATTCAACACAAATTTTGACATTTTTGTTTTTGAGTTGAAATTATTAAAAAAAAAAATTTTTTTAAATTATTCTGTCTGAAATTAACAAAAATATTACAAGAATTCTATCTCAAAGAATGAGTAACGTTGAAACTGTTTTTTTAAGAAGATTTGTCAATCCAAATGCCAATTCTATATAAAAAGCTCTGAATCGTGTGATTAATTTGAAAATGGATTATAATTAAAGATGTTAATTCAAGACGTGTATTTTGCAGCCTTCACTGGAAGACATAACCCACATGGATGACTCAAGGTTACCTTCCAGGAAGGGGGCCAAGGGGAAAAAAGAAAATGTTTTCTCTTTTTTAAAAAAAAATTTACCTTGGGAGTAAACTTTCATATAAATGCTGTTCAAACCTCACTTTCAAATGTTTCAACTTTAAAACATTTAGAAAGTTTATAGTTTACAAATTACACTTTTCATAGGCATTCACTTATATTTACAGCAACCTGATGTAGGTATTAAGGACAGAGACAATCTGAAGTCAAGACTTGATACAACGTCTCAAATTACGCACTTATTTAGCAGTCTATATGTAATATACCACGTGGAGCGTGGTACGCAAACCCATTATGACCAGTCATAGGTATGGATGACTCAAGACTTCATGACGAAAGATAAACCGGATGATCTAACGTACCAGGATGTTTGTCTTGATTGTTTTACCTTTAGACGTAATTTACTCAAACCGAACGTCATCAAGGGAAAAAAGCTCACTTGTCACTGATTAAAGTTTCGCAAATCTTGGAAAACTTTATTATCACATCAATCCAGGATATTTGCTTGATGAGGAAAGAACAAAAGTTTATTCCACACATTTAATAAAACTGTTCCGCTTAAAATTGGAGACGTATAATAGGTACATTATAGATGTAATTTCATTGAGTTTGTCAGAATTTAGTCAAATATTCCCCGAAATTTTGCTCAGAACAACTATTTTATCTAGAGTGGAAATACGTTGTCAATATATTATAGCTACATCTTGAATTAACAAACCATACAAAGTAGATAAAATAGCTAGACCTTGAATTAACAAACATAAATTAGCTAAAATATCATGCTAAAAAGCATATTATCACTGTAAAATACCTTATTTTTTGTACATGTATGAAGTTTATTTTCACTGATTTTTGATGTGTTGGATGTAAAATATAAGAAAAAAAAAGTATTTTTGTTGGATTTTATCTCCACAGATGTAATATTTCACCGAAAATAGCTAAAATAAATTTCAAGTGAAAATAAAGTAATTTACAATAGTGTGATACAATCCATTAATACAATTCACTAATCAAAATACCAAAACAAACTACTTAATCCAGAGGAAGGATTAAAAGTTGGACAATTCAGAACTAGCTGCAATGTATTTTATTTTTATACAGAGAATAATATAATAAGCCTTTAGTTGGATTGGTATTGAAACTTTGTGTTATTGAGATGTGCTCAAATTCCAATGGCGATGGCAGATAAACACACAATTTGTTCATAACATATCTATCATAATATTTGATGCTGTCTTAGAAGAGATCTACAGCACCAATTGTTTGACGATGCATGACTTTTCCAGATTAGCCATCCTCATTTTGGACATTTTTCCCTTCCATTCTAACTAAATGATTATCTTTTTCTACTTTTGAATCCCAAAATTACAATCATTTGTTATCGAAGATTTTTTTCCCTAGATCTGACCCCTGTGAAAAATGTATATACACCTATAGAGATATAAAATGAATTTGTCATTTATAACAAACATGTTTATTTGCAAATCAGAAATTAACAAAATACACAAGCCAAGAACAAAAGCATTGCACAGATTCAAAAACATTCTTTTCTATTGGTTTGAGACCAGCTGATGCCAGCAGAATTTGGAACATTGTACAGACAGTGTTATTATAAAAAAAAATGAAATGAAAAGGTGTTTTTTTTAATATATAATTCAATGCCCCTCCTCTATTTGCTGTATCTGGTCATTCCTTATACAATTGCAATGATAAGCCCGACAAAAAACAAGCAGCCTGTCGGCTGAGATAGCTCCGCTGTTAGCAATGCACATGGCAATTAAAGAACAGAAGATATCATTAGAAAATGAACAAATCTGAGAGAGGTCCACATGTAGTACCTATATATGTAATATCAAAGCAATTGGACTTGCGGTTTTTAACAAGAAGTTGAAAATATCACTTTTTACCAAAAATGACAAAAATATTCACCAAAATTAGAGAATTAAATATATCATCACAAAATGAACAAATCTGAGAGAGGTCCACATGTAGTACCTATATATGTAATATCTAAGTAATTGGACTTGCGGTTTTCAACAAGAAGTCAAAAATATCACTTTTTACCAAAAATGACAAAAATATTCACCAAAATTAGAGAATTAAAGATATCATTACAAAATGAACAAATCTGAGAGAGGTCTACCCAAGGTACATATACACCAAGTATCAAAGCATTCAGGCTTGTAGTTTTCAAGAAGAAGTCGAAAAAGTAAAACATTGACACGGACAACGACGGACAATCACTCATATGATAAGCTCCGCTCGACAAAGTCGACAGCGGAGCTAAAAGTGGCTGCTGTTACAAGATCTGTAAAAGTTTTCTTCAAGAATGTTATTAATTGCTATATACAAAATTATTTCACTTTTCTGTGACGCAATATTGAAGATTAAATACTGCAGGAATCTAAAAAAAAATAATTCTTTTATATTATACACTTCATATTTAAGTTTTATTTGATTTTGATTCAAGAACCAAACCTATTGTTTCTAAAGACAGATGTACTAAAGAGCTCAGCGGATTTGATTACACCAAGAGTGTCTAAACGCCAGGTCGGTTTGCAGTGAAACAAGATGAGATGAGACCTCAGGCTGCAGTATTCCAAACATGTAGTCTGCTGATAGCATCTCAAAAATGCGGCCGGAATGCCAGCACATCAGCTGTTGCAAAGGTAAAAGGTATTAAGCGAAGACTCTCGGCAGGAGACTTGCAAAATAACAGAACTGCTAATAAAAATATCACCATGGGGCAAGTTTTCTGACTCAGTACTTTCTTGCTGAGGTGGAAAAAATTGTTCTTCCTGACTTCACTGCGGAGGTTCTAAAGTGGACACACAGCCCAAGTGAATCAAACTTAATACTACTACTGAGTCTATAGACGCAGAGCTTATTTATCCAATAAGCCAATTACAATATAAACACTTTAAACAAAAGGAGATGCTGGTATTTAAACTGTCTGAATTACTTGGTGGTATTGCTAGATAAGGCACTACAAATGCGCTAAATTTCTTAAATACATGATTATAACTGCAAAGGTTTGAAATCACAATCTACTCTCAGGGCCCCTGCAATCTAAACAAGCTGGTCAAGGCAGTCAGGTAGTCTACCGATTTATTTTTACTGTTGTGTGATCGGTGTCTTGTTACACTGCTTAAACCTAACAAACATATCAAAAACACATCAAAACTTGGCAACTTCATTTTTTAAACAAAATTGTATTTTATAAAAGGAATAGACAAGAAGAAAGAAAAAGTGGGGCAAATCCATCAGGTAAAGGGGAGGGTAGGCACTTTTCTAATAAGGATGTTTCAATATTCAAAAGTCCAGTAAGAAATTTTAAGTGAAGTCCACATAACAGATAACAAAAATAAGGTATTTGAATTAAGAAATTTGAGAGGCTGAAATTCCTAATTATGTTATGCACATGTAGCACCTGCTGGGTTCTAAACAATACTTCTGACATCTGGCTAAATGGAACTTACATCAATTACCACCACCCCCCAGCAGCCAAGGTTTGAAACAGTGTCCTGTAACTGTATATCTTACTCGGAAAATGCGTGAATGTGGGAAAAGGATGTAAACTGTGATGCGAGTGAGGTGTTTGAAGCTGTTACATTGGGGTGATGTGAAAGTGACTAAAAGTTGTGATTAACCGGAGTTTCCTTAAAGGGTGCCTTTTCATTGAATTAAGTGCCGTGAAAGCACCGCTACTGAATGCTGTGTCTATTGAAGAATAGACCACGTCGTTTGCATATACCTTCCTTTGTGAACAGAAGAGCAAAAAAAAAAAAAAAGAGAGAAAAGTAAAATAAACGATTATGCCTTTATATTTTTTCACTTTCGGTCATATTAGCACCTTCACATTTGCGTACATAAACTTTGCTGCGTCAGCGAGTGATGATATGCTGGGGCGCACTTCGAGTAATTCGTTACTTGCTTCGAGTCGTAGGGGGAAAGGTGTTGTTGGAAGGTGCCATCTGTCCCGAATCAATAGGTTGGGTTTACAAAGGACAACAGCAGTAATCACTGAAAATCCAGATAAAAAGAAAACAAACAACCGCCACGGGAAGTCCAGTTGAAATCGCGACTAAATGACCACTTCGAGCGAGCCAGGTATCGGCTAATAAAAATAAAAAATACCGGGAAACGAGGCCATTGTTGCTTGATGGGACGATTTTAATGATGATTTAAAATTGGTCAGCTTGCCTGTAGGTTTGTTGCATAAACACAGAGGTGCATTGTCCGAACTCTCACCTAAATTTAAACGATAGAACCGAAAACATCTCCTACAACATCGGGCAGTGAGCTTAAGTAAAACGCGATCGTATATTCCACGTGAAAAAAAATGAACGTGTTTGAAAATGATGGAGGAAATTACCGGAGCTAGAAATAAAATTCAAACAGCCTGTGTGATTATACGGCCACGTTTTCTCTTTGTTAACACCTGCAATAGATTAATTATACATTCGGCTTTCCCCTGTCATTGTTCAGCGGGCTATGTCATTGTGCTAAAGATGCAAGCCATCGCCACTTCTGATCGGGAAAGCTGAAACGTTCGAAAACAGACTCCCCTTCAGATCAAAAGGTAACACTCGGTAAATTAAAGAACCAAAATGTTTCTCCTGTTTCACAAGTGTCGTTCCATCCTTTTTTCCTCATCGACGCATCCAACAAACAGCATAGAAAGACACAATGATGATCGAACATGCACTGTACATAAACGTACGTACGCATTGCCGCTCAGGTACGATACACATGAAAGTGTACGCAGCGGTGAACAATGTGTATACAACGCGCACCTCAGAAACGAACCTCAAAACTACGCGCAAAACTATTTCTCCGCGATAAAAGTTGACACTTACTTTTAACTAAAGATGGACTGTGAATCGGTATGATTATAAAACTATTCGTTACCTTTTTTTCGTCTCGGGTTCGCTTGTTTTCTGCGTGTACACCTGGGTCCCTCCGCCATGTTCCGTTTCAATGAGTTGATTGAGAGAAACTTAACGCATGCGCAGCTTACCTTGTTGACGTCATTGATGGGAGTTCCTCGTCATTTCGTACTTGCCAGTCCCACTTTATATTTTGATAGGTGGATAATGTTAACACCATCTGGAATACGTTTACATTACGCGGAATTAACAGAGGTGCTTAAATTCTGAAAAATACAGTGTCTTAGTTCTTTATTTTTAAACCTTCGCAATATGTACGCAAATATATGTCGTGTTTATATCATGCGGTATTTTATGCAAATCCACGCCAGGTGTGCGTAGTCGCTTTGTCTGTATTACTGCGATTCGCGACAAATTTTACATTCACGGATCACCACAGCAACGAGAGGGGCTTGGAAAGCTATCCTCGTAAATTTGAGTAATATTGTATATCCCCGTGACCGAATTTAACAGCAGGTTATGCCCATTCGACGGCTTGTACGGACTTATTTATGGGTACTCACACCTGGACTTGTGCGGAAGGATAGCACTCCGAACGGTTCATTGGATGCCAAGCTTCTGCATATTGGAGTCGATTGTTGACCATGTCTCGTCGAAAACAGGCCGCACCTAGGTCTATTAAACGTAAGTTGACTTTTTCTGCGCGATCGTAACAAAATGTGCTTCAGCGGTACACGTGAAATCGTATTTCAAAGCGATGGAGATCGGCGAATCGAGCTTACAAATCACGAAACAAATGCCTGCCTGGCTTCTTCGTCACAGATTGTTACTGATTGGCTGCCATTTTGAATACATAATGAGTTGTCCCAGGTTTCCCCACTGCACTGTTAGTACGTGTACACAGAGTTCATATGTGAAATTTACATACTCACAGCCAAGTAACAAGTACAGCATAATTTATTTCCGTAAACATATTTGTTGTGATTTGAGAAAAATTGAGAAATCCAATATCAATATAGAAATAGTGAATTCATTTTCATCATTTTACCTAGTGTTATTAAAGTGTTTTAATTTTCCAAACCTTACAAACCTTAATTTTTTTTTAAGGAGGGAATTGAGGTAATAAGTTTTTATCTTTCTTCCTATTTCACAAATTTCATATCAATCATACCTATAATTAGTACTAACAATTTAGATGAAAAGTGTTAAAAATCTACATAATAATTATGTAAAAATGTTGGTGTGTGAAATACTGTAAAATACTTTATTTACGCTTGGAATTTATTTTTGCTATTTTCGCTGAAGAGATGATTCAGTGAGAATAAAATCCAGCAAATATACCCTTTTTCCTATATTTCACATTCAACTCATCAAAAATCAGTGAAAATAAATACCATACAAAACACCCAAAAAGCCTTTCAGCGAAAATTAATTCCAGCTAAAATAAAGTATTTTACAGTAGTTTAAATTATATAGTAGCTATGTGTACTAGCTCTATCCCTTTCATATCTATCACATTAAAATAAAAAAATCAGAAATTTTATATTTTTTCTGAAATTTTTTTAAAATTTTTTATTATATATTATAATTATGTTTAATTAAACTCACATTTAATTAATTTTCTGATTAGGTGACATCTTGAAGTGAAAACTGATTTGGATGTTTATAAAGTTACTTGTAATGTATCAGTAATCGATAGGTGGCAGTTATATTGTCAGGGGTGAATTATTTGAAAAATGGGTGGGGGTGGGGTTACTTGGAACATCAAAGTCAGGATATATTTGTTGACTCCTGTGTGTCTGTATATGTGTGTGTTTGTCTGTGTCTGTCTGTTCCACTGATATCTCAAGAATCAAATGTTGGTTTTTGATGAAACTTAATACATAGATGCTCCTGGCTAGTTTTTGGTTGAAATCCGTGCATATTAATTACCTAAGGGACAACATCAAAAGTTCAATGTAGGATAAAAAACTTAATTCCTTTAGTTTTTTCCCAAACCCCCTTATCCCCCACTGAAACTTAATTGATAAATATTGACCATGGCGTCAGACTACATTCACCATTAAATACAAATTGATAATCCGACAGTAGTATGGCATAGCAGTTGGTTGTCGGGGAGGGGGGGGGGTGTATAAAAAGACTTTACACTCGGACCAAACCATTTTCTCATCTTGAATGTGTTTTTTTCATTTTCTGTTATTTCTGTCCATGATTGGATAGAAAAAAAAAGAATTACAAATACTTCAAAAAAATGTTGACTTCATTAAAAAATAAAATCGTTTTTGTAGGATGGAAACTTTTTGAGGTCAAACCCCCCCCCCCCACCCCTAAACTAAAGCAAATAAGTTTTTTATCCGACATCGATCTTTTGACGTTGTCCCTAATTTGCATGATAATTCACCAATTTTGTAGCTGTTTCATGACTGTTCCACTGATATCTAAAGAACCGCTTAATGGATTTTGATGAAACTTGGTACAATGTACATTGATGCTCTGGGAGATTGTGCAGACCAGATTAGTTTTGGGTAAAATTCCATACATATTAATTATCTAATTTGCATAATGATTAGTCACTTTCAAGTATGTTTTAAGTACTAATCATTACATTTCAGTGAAACTTGGTAGGTAGATGCTCTGGGACTATGCACAGACCTGATTAGTTTTGGATTAAAATTTTTTCATATTATCTAATTTGTATTATTAGCCAATTTTCGGATTTTACTCAGATATCTCAAGTTCTAAGCACATTTCAATGAAACTTAGTACATAGATGGTCTGTGATATTGTGCAGACCATATTAGTTTTACATTAAAAACTGTGCATATTAATTACCTGATTTGCATAATAATTTGTCAGTTGTTAGCTTTTCAATCAATATCAATATGAAACTTGGTACATATGTGCCATGGAACAATACACAGACCTAATTAGTTTTGGGTTGAAATCCATGCATAATAATTGCTTAATTTGCATAATAATTACCCAATTTTCTACCTATATCTCAAAAACTAATTATTGCATTTCAATAAGACTTGGTATATGAAGTGGGTGTTTTGTATGGAATTTATTTTCACAAGTTGTTTTTGTTTTGACAAGTTGAATGTAAAATATAGGAAAAAAAGGTATTTTCGCTGGATTTTATTTTCGCTGAATCCATCCCTTCAGCGAAAATAGTGAAAATTAATAATTCCAAACGAAAATAATTCATTTTACAGTAACTTGCAGATAATGCAGCTAGGTTGATACAGCAGCCAACAAAAATGATTGAGTATGGGATATAATGGTTAGAATGATCACAGTTTCAAAATGAGTGACTAACGTTTCCATACATAAAAAAAGTAGTGTAACATTGAGGAAACTATGGTTACTGTATTTCCTGTTTTAGTAGTGCATGCACTTACGTAAATGATAGACTTATCTGTGGACCAAATAAGCTGTATTTTAATGATTGAATACCTGCAATTTTTGGGTTATACAAGGTATATACAAGGTTATGCATTTGTATTGGAACAAATGAAGTACAGATCTGGTTACTGAGATAGCGCAATGGTTAGTTATCTAGGAACTGTCACCAGGCAACAAAATATTCTAAAAAATCACTACAGGTCTATAGTTTACCTCCTGCATACATGGCGTGTACAAGCTTAATATTCCTGGCCATTATTATGCAAATTAGCTGCACTTTTAGTCCTGTCAGTAAAGAAAATGCATCTAATTTGCATAATAATGTTTTTTTTTAAACTTAATTTGTTTTTCATATTGTAAACAGAGAATGCAACTTGTATTCTATAAGTTTGCGTGAATATAACATCATCAATTAATCTGTAATCAAATTAAATACAAAAGTAAATGTTTTTCATTTTGTATGAGCTTCTTTATTCTTTGCGTGTGAGATCACAAGTGTGCCACCTTGCACTGTTCTATATGCTAGAGGTATTGTGGACTTTTGAAAAGGCACCAGTACGACCGCCATTACGTTGACAGTATTCATAATACCGAACATGCAAAGAATATATAGGCTATGTGTGGATTTCTGGAGATATTTATTTTTGATAATATCCAACAAGTGATTAAGGGATTGAGTTATGTTTTTAAAATCGCTTCAAAATGGTATGGATTGGCAGAGTGATAATTAGATGTGGGTCTTGATTTTTTGGAGTGGAGTGGAATGATCATTCGTCTTAGAAAACAAGATATTCTGTTTTTCATAGTTACCATCTTGTACTCACCCTTGGTCCCATAGTTTCAGTTTGGAACGTTTGTTTACCATTTTGACTTTTGACATACTCCACCCCTGCCATGCATCAATCTGTCTAATTATTCTAAGACTTCGGTATAGAAAGTTGGACCGATAGCTGAATTTAGGTTATTTACAACAGCTGGACCTTTCTGAACAACACACTTTAAGTTACGCAGTGCTCCAGTCGGTATCATGACCTCATCGACGAAATTTGCAAAAATAACTAATTTTTATCCATTAAATCGCAGTTTTAGAACCATTCCAAATAATTCAGCATGTGATAAATCTGGATTTTGGATTTACGTCACAGTGGTGTTCAGACCTTGCATGTTTGTAAACATAGCGACTGGTAGGTAAGGTAGGTCTCTGAGGTCTAAGGCTGTGAACAGATAAGATTTAGAGTCAAAACAATGATTTCAATATTTGTGCATAGATATCTGATGGGAAGCACGTCAGATGGAACGCTCCTGAACGAAGCCATCGAATCAAGGGCATACTACTAGTGGGTTAACCAAACTATAATTGACTCATTTATGTTACACTTAGGTATTAAAGAGCTTGCATTTGAGGAGTTATAATAAAGCAAAAGTTGATCATCGTGCATTAAATATGTGTCACAGGTTTGTTTTTTTTAGGTTTTTTGGCAGAATTTCAACAGAATTTCAATTTTCAGGAAAAAAAATGAAAGCTCATAACTACCTTTCAATTATACCACAGATAAAATTTGAAAAGCTTCGAAACTCTTCATTCAATGTTTTTTTGTGCATAACGAGTGAAAGGATGGAATTAAAAAAATACAAAAAATAGGTTATTTCCTCAACATGGTGTTACCACTATTTCTATTGCCATGCTTTTGTTAACACCTGTAGTTAATCCGTACAATATTCTACATGCACATTTATACAAATGTATTATTTTTTCACCTTCACTGAATGACCTCGATCAGGATCAATTTTTGTATGGTGAACACACATGTCACTGCTGAATATATTACGTTTGCAAGAATTTATTTTTACTGTAATTTCAATTTTTATGTTTGGTAATAAGTTAAAAATCAAAATTTTGTTTAATTTTTGTTGTTGGTTGGTTTCACTGTTTCGCAAATGCCGATCTTTCAGAAGTGGGGGATATGATGTGAAGAATACCCTTACCTCATCAAAATTGACCATCATCAAATGTCTATAGTATATTATTATCTTTGGGAATACCCAAAAAAATACTTTCACTTTTTGTCGAATCTCATTCGACGTTTTGAGTTGACCACGTCACTATGACCTTTGTTTGTCCTGTTTTCACTTTCAATTTCATGAATAATGCTGGAGCTTGCATTGAACCAAAATGATCTTTTAAAGCTTTGATGAAACAAGAACAACTTGTATTGGTTTAAAGCTCAATGACAATTGAGATACATTGGGTAATAATCAAATTTTTATTTTTTATTTTT